AGATCAGACCATCGCTCACCTTGCTGTCGATACGACCTCATCTGTCCAACTATGGAAGTTACCTGCTAGATTTGCCTAAAAGAAGGCCATCAAGCCTTTAAATGCTATTTCCGCTTTGCGTATAGTTCAGGTAATCATAGACAGAATCACAGTAGAGGAGAACAAGGAGGAAGAGGAACTCGAGGTCATGGAACTAGACAATATATCTGAAATCATTTTGGTAGAGGATGAGGCTCTCATTATAACTTTAATGCCAACCTCGCACAACAACAATGGTCTGATAGTTACTTTGAAGACAACAATGTTAACCATGTGTTTATGCAGGAACCATACAATCAATCAAGACATGGAACCCGTTCCAGGTTTAACCAACACTTCATCCTAAGTGATCAGCATGGACAACAACCTTTTCAAGCCAATCAGTTTCATCAGACTCAGACATAAGACCTTAGTGGGTCAAATTCGTTTCACGGGCCAAATCCACAAATCCAAAGTTCGGGTCCATCAGACATAGGTTTCGGCCCAACCCATTTTGCAAACTAGGCTCAGGTACAGAAGACACAGTATACTCCTGAAGGACAGTTCAACTTGGCTCACATAACCTTTATGGACTCTGTGTTGCGTCTTCTGTTGCCTTATCCCCCCACTTCTGTTTGGCACTGTTGTCTCGAACATCTAGGAAAATATGCTCTGAATAAACTTTCATTGTCAAATAATAAGAAACTATCATTTCCTTGTAACTCATGCAATATTTCAAAAACTTAATAAATCACCATTTGAGTCACATATTTCTCATAGTTCTTCACCTCTACACATTGTGCACTTCGGTGTCTGGGGGCCATCACATGTGCTTTCTCGTCATGGTTATAAATATTTTGCTACATTCATTGATGATTATAGTTGATAAACATGATTATATCCTCTCACTTCCTGTGCTCAAGTGGTTGAATCTCTTTGTCATTTTAAACCAGAACTGAAACGTTTCTATCCACTAAAATAAAATTCTTCCAATGTGATGGAGCACCCGCACTTATTAAAGGATCTATGAAGAATCTCTTATCGTCTTATGGCATTATATATCACATCTTTTGCCCATACACTTCTCAACAAAATGGAGTTGTAGAACGTAAAAACCGTTATCTATCCAATATGGCTCTTACCCTTTTGTCTCATGACAATCTCCATTCCACAAACTATTCCAAACACCTCCAGAATACTCTCTCTTTTGCACATTTGGGTGCTTGTGCTACCCTACCTTGGACATATTCGTCAAGACAAGATTTCATCCAAATCTCTTCCTTGTTTGTTTCTTGTATATGCCCCAAACTATAAAGGGTATATCTGCTTTGATCATTTTACCACCAAACCTTATACAAGCTGACATGCATGTTCTTTTTCATGAATCGACATTTCCCTCTACAAATACCTCAACAACACCTTCGTACAATAAACCCTTATTTCATGTTACCCTTCCTGATCCTCCATTCATCTTGACTACTCCTAAATTTCCTACAAAAAATGGGATTCGTGTAATAAGCATTTGATATTCAGCAATTCTCCAAATTCGGATATATTCAACATGTTTTTTTTAGATTGGAATAGAGAAATTTATTTAAGATGCAGTCAAAAATTGTACTAAAATACATCATACAAGGATTTTTAGCCTGATATCTGACCCTATTTTTCCCTCTCTATCTCTCACTACATCATCTCATTCACCTTCCTTATCTTCTCCCCTTCCACCTACTCACCACATGACCACATGCTTGCATGACAATACTAGAAAACCCATCCAGTTTCTCAATCATTTTCTCTTTCATGCCGCTCAATCCCCCATTTTGGATAAAGAACCCTCCACCGTTTCCCATGCCAAAAAGTGGCCTTAATGGTGTAATGCTATGCAGTCTGAATTCTCTCCCTACACGCTAATCACACTTAGGTAGTAGTTCCTCTATCATCTACCGAGACATGGACTTCTAGGGTTTCAAACATCACACAACCAAAACCTCTAAACTTGTACTTCCTGTGAGTCGAGGAGATCTCTCTGGTGGATTTGGCGGTGACCAATCTGTTCAGAGAGAATGCAACGATCATAATTGGAGGGGAGTGGGATTAAGGTGCTTGAATATCATCGCATGGTATGGGTACTGGAATGCGGTTTTGGAGGAACGTGGTTGGACATGGAAGTGGAACGTGGTGGGAGATGATTCAAGCATGGAAGAGAGGTCAATGATGTTCTTAAGCTTGTACATCACGCATAAGGCATAACATATGTATTAGATGGTTGTACATCATGCAAGAATATTTATACCTTTTAAAAATTCAAGAAAACTAAACTCGTCTCTTTATAATCTATAACCCTAATAAATAAGGGGGTGTTTGGGTAAGCTTATTTAAAACAACTTATACTTTTTTGTAAAAGTGCTTATTAACTTATGCGGTATCAAACTGGAGTTTTGTAAAAAGTGTTTGGATTAGCTTATAGCGGTACCAAAATGCAAAATGACCAAAAAGGACAGCTCATTTTTAGGTTATCTTCTACCCTATACCAGTTGATACGCAGGTAAAGCATCAGGTTCTATGAGTTGAAGAAAAAGGGTTCATATTTGAAACAGGAAGCCGGCGATGAGAAACCAGGCGAAGGAAGAAGCAGGAAGCCGGCGAAGGAAGAAGCAGGAAGCCGGAAGCCGATGAGAAACCAGGCGAAGGAAGAAGCAG